CGTGGCCCTAAGGTGCGCATTCAGGCTGTGGCCTGAGGCTTTCACGTCTTTGCACCTTCTTCACCCCAAGCCACAGCCAATGCATAGCGGTTCTCAAAGTGTGTCCCCGGGGAACCTCGGGAGGGCACCCCGCCCCTCCCAGGACCTTCCAGGGGATCTGCACGATGAAAACTGCTTTCATGAACCTTCCTAAGTTGGGGCTGGTGCTGTGGTGGAGCGGGTAAAGACCCCGCCTGAAGCGCCAGCATCCCACGTGGGCGTGGGTTCGAGTCCCGGCTGCTCCACTTCTGACCCAGCTCTCTGCTGTGGCCTGGGAAAGCAGTGGAAGATGGTCCAGGTCCTTGGGCCCCTGCACCCGCGTGGGAGACCTGGAAGAAGCTCCTGGCTCCTGGATTTGGATCGGCCCAGCTCCGGCCCTTGCAGCCATTTAGGGAGTGAACCAGGGGATGGAAGACGCCCCCCCCCCTTTTCTATCTCTGCCTCTGTGTAATTCTCTGCTTTTGAAATACATTTTTAAAAAAATTTAAATGATGTTTTCCATTGCAGAAGTGGGGAGGTGGGGCCTGGGTCTCCCCGTACCTGGATGAGCGCGTCCCGGGACCCCGTGACGAGCAGGTTGTTCTGGGGGCCGAACACCGCTGTCTCTACCACGTCCTCGTGTTTCAGGTCGGCGGCCAGGAACCGGTGAAAGCCGCGCCCGTCAGCCAGGAGGATGCGCACGCACCTGCCAAAGCCTGGAACAGCACCCAGGGTTGCCGACTCCACTTCTGCCTGCCACAGCCCAGCAAGGGAGACTCCTGGAGCACTGGCTATGACGCAGTGGGGGAGGGCAGAGAGGGGGGAGGGGGGAGAGGGCAAAAGCCCCGGATGCCAGGCTGGGAGCGGGGTCCCTGGCTGTCACTCATCGCTGAGGCTGGGGTTGGGCTGGGTGGTTACGACACCTGCGTCTCGCGTGGGACCACCCGGGTTCCAGTGCCCCCTCGGACTCCCTGCTAACGTAGGCTCTAGGAATCAGCAGTGACAGGTCAAGTGCTCGGGGCCCTGCACCCACGTGTGGGAGACCCGCGTGGAGCCCCTGGCCCCTGGCTCCCGCCCGGCCCCGCCCCAGCAGTTGGAGGCGTTTGGAGAGTAGACCGTGGGTAGGAGTTCTTGTCTCTGGCTTTAAGCCTGGTCTTAATTTTGTGCCTCAAGCCTTGTTTTTCTTCTTTTGTGCCTATATCCCCTGTGAGAGGTTAAAAATTATTGGAGGGGCCGGCGCCACGGCTCACTAGGCTAATCCTCCGCCTTGCGGCGCCGGCACACCGGGTTCTACTCCCGGTCGGGGCGCCGGATTCTGTCCTGGTTGCCCCTCTTCCACGCCAGCTCTCTGCTGTGGCCAGGGAGTGCAGTGGAGGATGGCCCAGGTGCTTGGGCCCTGCACCCCATGGGAGACCAGGATAAGTACCTGGCTCCTGGCTCCTGCCATCAGATCAGCGCGGTGCGCCGGCCGCAGCGCGCCGGTCGCGGCGGCCATTGGAGGGTGAACCAACGGCAAAAGGAAGACCTTTCTCTCTGTCTCTCTCTCTCACTGTCCACTCTGCCTGTCAAAAAAAAAAAAAAATGAGTGACTCCTTATTTAAAAATGGATAATTTTTGTGGAGTTTTTGACTTAACATATTCAACTTTGAGAATATTCTAATATAAAAACTAAACCTTTAAGATCCTAGACTTAAAATGTCTTGATTGAGTGTGCACAAGTTAAAAGCAATTAAAAAATCCTACAGCAATAGAGTATCTTTCGGAA